GGCTCTGAGGCCCGGCTGGCTGAAAGCATGTTTCTGGGGTTTATTTAGCTTCTATAATTGCAACATTGTTTCTTAAAGTGCAGCTCAGAGGCCGGCAGCGGCACGCAGGGAACCTTGGCTTCCTCCTTCACTGGAGCAAGCAAGCCTCCTGTTCGCTTCAGCTGCCTGGCTGCCGGCCGCTATCTTGGTTGGCAGTTAATTTGTATATTGCCCTGATTAGCCAATGGGAAGCGTGTCGGAGGTATGGTTAATTACCATGTTTGTCTATCATTAGATAGGATGGGAGATGGCAATATAACCACGAAACAAGGTGCATCAAGTCTGACGTAACCCGAGCACTGCCTGTACTGTCAAAAGACTCAGAAGGGCTTTCCAGAGAGAAAAGATTTGTTTTAAACCAAGAGTTAAATTTAGTTGCTTCCTGAATGTGTTTCCCCAATCAACAGAACTTTTATACCATTGTTCCCTCTTAGCACCCACAGTTGGTGAAGAGTATTGCCAAGAGAAGAAGTATAAGCAATAGTAATGGCTTATAAACTGTTAACACCACTTGGCATGCAGTAGTATATGGAATACCAGCAGCGAGCTCTCAGAACCTAAAACCCCAGCCATCACCAAATGGGTAGTTACTTTTCTTCAGTTGCCTCTCTGGGTCTGGGGATTAGTAGAAAACAAGGTATTTGAGGTTCTAGAACAGTGATGGCAAACCTATGACACGCATGTCAGAGGTGACACGCAAACTCATTTTTTTGGTTGATTTTTCTTTGTTAAATGGCATTTAAATATATAAAATAAATATCAAAAATATAAATCTTTGTTTTACTATGGTTGCAAATATACTGAATGACCAACCACCTCACTCCAGAGAGCTACCAGCAGAGGCAGTAAGAGGGGAGCAGTCAGATGTAGAGGAATGGCAGATCTGAGGTACTACTACCTGAACTGCTGGATGAGAGCTGCCTTTGAAAAACTTAAAACATGGCATGTTAAATTAAGCCTGATTCTGAACTACGCTGTTTGCCTTTACATAGGTGGTAAAAATCAAAGTTCAGCAAGATACACTCAATGACACTTAGGAAACTACCTTAGTAAAGAGGCATCTCTGCCAGAGTCTGCTAGTGATAGACAGAAACAACTTAGGAGTCGTTCTTAGCTTGACAGTCTTTTTTTTTTCTTCACATGAAAAGCAGGTAAAACTTCTACACACAGCAAAACCAAATACAATAGAGCTCTATAGCTGTCTAAAAAAAAGCCATTGCCAGCCTGGCTGGTGTTGCTCAGTGGTTGAGCATCCACCATGAAGAGTTCAATTCCTAGTCAGGGCACATGCCTGGGGTGCAGGCTTGATCCCCAGTAGGGGATGTGCAGGAGGCAGCCGATTGATGTTTTTCATCATTGATGTTTCTTTCTCTCCCTATCCCTTCCTCTCTCTGAAATCAATAAAAACATATTTAAAAAAAAAAAAGCCATGCCAGATCTGATTCTTTTCCATATAATTAAGCTGGCTCCATAATTCTCCCTATAAGCACTACTAGCATTCAAAATTTACATTCAAAACTTCAAAGCAATTACTTATTTTCTTCTCTACCTATTAAAATGATTATGATTCCCCCTTTAGCTTAAGATAATTCTATAACAATGGTTTTCAAACTATATTCCAAGAAGCCCAGTTAAGAATGTGGTTTGGGCCGAAACCGGTTTGGCTCAGTGGATGGAGCGTCGGCCTGCGGACTGAAGGGTCCCAGGTTCGACTCCGGTCAAGGGCATGTACCTGGGTTGCAGGCACATCCCCAGTAGGAGATGTGCAGGAGGTGGCTGATCGATGTTTCTCTCCCATCGATGTTTCTGACTATCTCTCTCTCCCTTCCTCTCTGTAAAAAATCAATAAAATATATTAAAAAAAAAAAAAAAAAGAATGTGGTTTGGGAGGAAGGGACAGAGATGAGGTAGAACACCTCTCCCACAGCTGTTTTTACCTGCTTTTATATGTTTGAAGACACTACTGCTAAAAAAAAAAAAAAAAAAGAAAAGAAACTTAAAAAGCACTGGGGTAATAGACTAGACCAGGAGTGGGCAAACTACGGCCCACGGGCTGGATCTGGCCCATCTGAAATAAATAAAACAACAAAAAAATGACCGTATACTTTTATGTAATGATGTTTACTTTGAATTTATATTAGTTCACACAAACACCCCATCCATGCTTTTGTTCCAGCCCTCCGGTACAGATTAAGAACCCATTGTGGCCCTCGAGTCAAAAAGTTTGCCCAGCCCTGATCTAGATAGTTGGCCTGTATGCCTTGAGTTATTAATCATAACATCCTATCTAATAAAAGAGAAACATGGTAATTAGCCGTACCTCCATTACCCTTCCCATTGGCTAATTAGGATGATATGCAAATTAACTGCCAGCCAAGATG